GGCGGGGGGTGCCGCTGGCCCGGAGGGCGGGCAGGGGGCGCGGGAGCGCCGCATGCAGTCGGCGAGGGGAGGCTCTTGTCAGCGGGGACTTGCCCCGCCAAGCCTGGCCCGGCCCACGCACCCTCGCCGCGCGGGGTTTGCAGACCCCTTCTCATCAGCGCGGGCCCCCATTTGCTGCTCCAAGGCCGGTGGGAGTCTGTCTGTATATGCTAGTGGGCCTCTGGTGTGCACCATGCCGCGAGGGGGCGCGCACCTCGAATGCGGCCGGCAGGCGGGAGATAGGGTAGCCCAGGTGAGCAGGGATGGAGTGATCGCGCTGCCCCGCGGGCGCTGGGTGGGAGATGGGGCGCAAGGGAACAGGATTGAGGGTTTGGGGCTGTCAGGGTCCAGGGCTGGTGATTAGGCGAGGACACTTGGGTGGTCAGAGGATAGGAGGGGGAGAGGGGGTGGCATTTGTCGAGCGGAGCAGGCCGGGATTGGGCGTCGGACGGCACACGCAAAGCCCGAGGGAACGCCAGGGCGGCGGCGGCGGCGGCGGCGGCGGCGGCGCTCACTGAATGCGTGGGGCGTGGTCGCGAGGACCTCTGAAAGCAGCTCCTTCACGTGGCCGATGATCCTGTCGCGCCCGCCCGGCGGCGGCTGCGGGCGCTGTGACGCCGGCGGGGGCGGCTGCGGCTGCAGCTGCTGGGGCGGCTGCTGCGGCTGCGCCGACGGCGGGTGGTGCGGCTGCGGGGCCCCGGCGGCCGCGGCCGCAACCGCAGCGGGCGGCACCGGCTGTGGAATGGGCGACCGCTTGTGCATGGAGGCGTCCTTAGATATTTTGTGGATTATCTGGGAGAGATCCTGGAACATTGGAGACAAGGCGGGGAATGGTGAGGTCGAACCGAAAGCTGCGGACACTCTGCGTCAAGAGGCGCCCCCGCGGCGGGGCCGGCTGCCGGACAGGCGTCGAGAAACAGCGGTGCACAGATGAGCGGGCGCGGCCCGGCCCGCCGCAGACCCATGGCCCCGCACCCTATTAAATGTGCTCCTGGCGCCAGCGACGGGAGGGAACGCAAACAGCTCCCCGCCACCCGCGCCCGCGGGGACGAGGCGGCAGTCGCCCTGCAGCTTCCCGAGCAGGTGCGCCAGCGACGGCTGGCCGTAGGTGGCGAGCGGCAGCTCGTACCCGTACCGCGCGCGGAACGCGGCGGCGACGGCGGGCAGCGGCAGGCCGGACGATGCAGCCACAGACTCCAGACGCACGCCGTCGGGGCCTGGCGAGGAGGGGCGGGGCCGTACAGGTGGCTGGTTGTTGTCGCCCGGCCCGCCGACGCACGCTGGGGCTGCCGGCAAGGAGGCAAGTGCGCTGGCGGGGGCAAGGGGGCGCGCCGCGCGCGTGAGCGCGAGTCAAGAGAGAGAGGAAGCGCACCGAACGCGGGCGGCACGTCTCGCAGGAGGTCCCGCAGCAGCAGGCGCAGGTGGTAGATCGGGCTGGGGTGCAGGTAGAGGCTGTGGAGGTTGAACGCCTTGGCAAACAGCTGGGGGCGGGCCGAGGGGAGTAATGGGGG